TTCTGCCTGGGCTTGGCCGGCCGCGCTTCAGCACCCGCCGACCCGGACAGCGCCTGCTGCATGGAGCTGCCCGCCGCGGCCGGGGACGCACTCGGGAGTCCAGCCGCCACCGCCCTCGTCTCCTTCCCCGGGGGCCCCGGGGAGCTGGAACTGGCGTTAGAGGAGGAGCTGGCGCTGCTGGCAGCCGGGGAGCGGCCGTGCGACCCCGGCGAGCATCCTCAGGCCGAGCCCGGGCCTCTGCCCGACGGGGCCGGGCCGCAGTCACCGCCCGTCCAGGATCCCGAGCTGCTGTCGGTGATCCGGCAGAAGGAGAAGGATCTGGTGTTGGCGGCCCGGCTGGGCAAGGCGCTGCTCGAGAGGAACCAGGACATGAGCCGGCAGTACGAGCAGATGCATAAGGAGCTGACGGACAAGTTGGAGGTGAAGACCCCCTACCTGGGATGGGTGGGAGGCACGGGAAGCCCAGGCACCCGCCCGGCCGTGGACAGGCTGGCCATGGACAGCCTTTCCTTACCCACCCTACCTCGCAGAAAACCGCCTGGGAAGGGGGTGGGGGACTTCGGATTGTCAGACAAGGACCTCCTTGGAACCCACTTGCCTTTCCCACCCTGCTCCCGCCGCTGTGGGCCGTTCTATATATGCACTGTACACAGCGTCTAAAATAGAACTTACAGTATGACTAATTTATACAGCACCGAGATGATGTCTGCACATAGCACGAGAAAGTCGAGGAGCGTTTAAAATACGCTCCAGGCTTCCTCAGAAGGAGTTAATCTCTAATTAGGGTGTTAGCCTAAAGCTTTCCAGTTTGGGCTTTCAGGCCTCCAGATGCCCTTCTCAGCAGCTCAGAGTTGTGGGAAACAAGTGCGCCTCATAGGAGCTTTATATAGCCTTCAGATGCTCAGGGATTAGGGAATATGGTTCTGTTGCAGAAAACAGGCTAGCCTGCATGCCAGGGCTCAACCTGGGACCGCTGGTAGCGGATTTAATGTAGGCCTCAGTATTGATGTGTATTTCACCATGCTTTCTGTGTTCTGGTTCTCATGCCTGCAGTCCAATGGTCAAAGGCAACATAAGAGAACCCTCTTCCTTTAGCTTCTGTTATAAATACCTCTTACAGTCTGTAATATTTCTGCTCACTCTTGGGAATAAGTCTTTTTGAGCTATGCCTGTTTGTTTTCTTGCTGTTAACTAGAAAAGGCCCCTGAATGTGGTACTGACTGCTGGCATCTCTAAAAATTAGAAAGACTTGCAAAAAACCCAGGGCGGGGTGGCCGGGTGGGACACACACATGGCAGTGGAGACAAGCATGTCTGTTTCTGCCTGTGTATTCCCTGTTGATAGCCAGGTTGGCTGTGACCAATTCTTTTCATTCTTAGTTACAAGAGAATAGTAGTAATCCTGAATAAAAGGTCTGAAATTGATCTTAGTCTGGTTCTGTATCATTGCTACTGGTTGAACAGTCAGAATGTAGATGCAGAAACTTTTTTATAATGACATTTAAGTGTGTCTGTAGTCCCACAACATATCAAAAGTAAATCAGGGTGGGGAAAAGGAAACCAGCGAGTGCCCCGCAGTTCAGTTGGCCTGTTAACTAGGTCTGCCAGTTGATGAACTCCTAAGATAGGTCTCTGAAAAGTGGTTTGTGAAACCTGTGGGTAGACTGCCAAAAAAGCAATCCAATGATTGAATTGTTTAATTTTCACTTGAAGTAGGGGCCTAGAAATAAAAGGTTGTCTTTTTTTTCTTTTTTTTTAAGAGATTCAATTACACTACTCTCTAAAGAAGTACTACTGCCGAGATTTATGCTTGTGATTTCAAATTCTTTCAGTGAGGGACTTCATTGAAGAGACAGCTAACTTGAAAGGAACATCATATCAGTCGGTGTGGTTGGTGATAAAGGTCATCACAATCCTGAGTGTGTGCTTACACATATCCTGGCTTCCAGGTGGAGCCTTTATACATTTCTTCGACCAAAGGAAAAGATTTCAAAATTCTGCTGTAACAAGAAATATTCTATTTGTAAAAGAAAAAATCGCCCTTGATTTTGATTATTGCCTCAGTAGATAGTAATAAAATAGCTTTAAAGCTCTTAAACTATTCTTTTAAAATCTTCATTCTTCTGTATGTCAGCATACAAACTCTAGTGTTAATAAAAGAAAAATTAGCAGCCAAATACCATTTCTGAATGAGCTGTGAGGGCACGAGGGTTCAGTTATACTATTCCCTTGAGGGTGTGTTTGAAAACGGTCATGAATTTCTAACATTATACATCCTAAAATATCTTATAAAGATAATGCTGTTGGTTGCTTATGAATTCTTTTACTACTACTATAAGAGTGACAAACATGGGACCACTTCATTTGATACCTGAGTTTTTCGCAAAGTATATTTCTTGAACAGCCTAGATTTTAGAATGTCCACTTAGACAAAGTTTCTAAAGTATAATACTGCCACTTCCTTTTCAATTAAATTGAATGCTTTGGAGTAGGGAATGAGCCCTTACTTTAAGAAGCATTTAGAATTTCCCACATACTGCCAGACAGTGGAGTCAAACACATTTTTCCACAGGTCGATTTAAAAGGTAAACACATCGGTGGATTCTAAAAGGACAGTGGGGTTGAGTATTAAATAATGAGAGTTGTTTTGTTTTGTTTTATCAGCTCCCTTACTTTGTTGTGAAGTTAGCACTTTTCTAACTTCAAGGCAAAAAGTATTTTCAAGCTCTTTTCTGCCCACTCCTCGGTTAATACTGAACATCTCTCCAGATCCATGTGTCACAGCCATGATTTTCCGTCTTATCATTTAAAATATAAAGTACTTGCCCCTATACTACTCATTCATTGAAGGTATACTTTCTCTCTTAAAAGACTTTCATGTTCTTCAGGATTAAGTTAGAAGTTTTTAGCTATATGTTTCTCAGGGTTAAAGTGAAGATTCTATTTAACTTGAAAAGCTCCAAGTTCTGAGCCATTATTTTCACCCTTGAATTGACTATGCTATATTTTATGATTCACTAACTAAACAGATTGGCATATGCTTGGGCTCAGACGAAGCAAGAGTTGTGAGGATGGCACAGGCCAGGGCAGTGTTTTGTTCTGTTGCATGTAGGGTCACTGTGAGTCGGAATTGACTTGACAGCATCTAACAACAAGAAATTTCTAAAGGCAATTTAAAAAATCTATTTCATCTCCATCTACAATTAGCTCTTTTGCTTTTAAAACTTATATTCAGCCAGACCATTTGTTGTTTCCTAGAACATAAACTGAGATAGCAACTTGCATTTATGTATTTTTTTT